AGGAGGTGAATACTGGCAGGAGGGTAAAGGTGTGATGTCTGAGCCATTGAGTAAGTTTTGTAGCTTTCTTTCAAACAGATGCTTAGTTACTCTGCTTTAATAACATAAATGGTAGCTATCCCCAAAAGTAAATATGGAACCATGGCCAGGTAAGGAGAGTCTCAACAGAAATAATAGCTGCAACGTGTATTATTTCAGAATTTTGGGATCCTTGCAAAACACAATCCAACCACCCAGTTCAATTTGTTATGGTTTACTGCCACCAAAGAATGTTGACACTTAGGAAGCAGCTTCGTGAATAAAGGCTTTCACCCACAGAACATTTCTAGGGAAATCTCTGCAATTGGAAAACTCTGGGAAGGGTGGTGGCTGCTTCATTTCGGAACCATCAGATTTCTTTGAAGGACCAAAAATCCGTATCAATATTTAACACCACTGATGCAAAAGGAGATACTAGGCAGCTGCAAGGCTGAGTACAGTGTTCAAGCTTCAGGGGCCCTGGCAAGCACTCAGCTGAGGCACAGGGGAAAGAACCCTGGAGCTGGAAAAGGTCCACAGGCATCCATCTGCTTCAGGAAAACCACACTGCTGCTCCAGGTTCAGCGCCTTGAAATGCCATGCCGGGTTTCTCTAAGGGATCCAGCGTGTGCACTGCCTCTGTGAGGAAGGCTCTTCCTTAAGCAAGAGTTGCCCAAGTGTTTCTTCTACATACACTGCTTCTGGGCAACCAGAATGAGCAGTGTAGGAGAGGTCAGCAAAATGCAACCAGACACTCCTGACCCACGCTCAGAATAGCCCAGCCCAGCCGGCCCATCTGAGAGGTTTTCATTGGTGCCTCCTCGGCAGTTACATTCGAAACCATTGTGACGACTACGGACGTCTGCCAGGCCCCAGTGCTCCACAGTGACCCTCCAATGATACCCCTCTCTAATAGTACACCCTCTGACCTACACGAGGAGATCAGAGAAAGCCAGACTCTAGTCATTAGGACTTCATGGCTGCAAAACACTGAGGTCCTTATCACCTCCAAAAAGCCAAAGGCCACCATTTCACCACTTTTTGAAGTCTCTCCAAAATAGAGAAAACAAGAAAAGAGGATAAGGCAGAGGATTTTGCAGGTTTCTTTTTAGAATCAACACAAATATGTACGCAATGTAACAATGACAATGATCTCTATAAAACTTAACAGAACTACACCAAGAGTAAGATAAAGACCAAATTATCTCATATGAATATGGACCCTAAAAGAAAAAAAATGTGTAAAAAATTTTAAATAAAAATATAAGAAAATTATATAGGGTAGATCTATACACATTTTACTTCATGTATACTACATATTCATTTACTTTTTTTCTAACATTTTGCTTCTACTCTGTCATATCACTTATCTAAACGCCCTCCTGAGAACTTCGAGCTTTCTCAGGATCCCACTCTCTCTGAACTGCCATCAGTATACACTGGGAAACTGTCCCCATAGACAGGTGGGAGCACACTTCCTGCTGGGACTCTGTCATGAAGGGAAGAGGGGAAACTGTCACAGTACATCAAAATAGCCATTAGGAGCCCCCCAAGCCTGACAAACAGAGACGTTTGAGCCCCTCCACCCCACTGCGCTCATGTTTCCAAGTCTCTGGGGTGGCTTGATGCAAGAGGCCCCCCCTCACCAGGTCAGAGCTGCCAAGACCACTGGGAGTTGCCCACCCTCGCAGAGCCAAGGCTTATCTCAAAGGATAAGGTGGAGTTTGCTCCTTTCCCCTATTGCAAAATATGAGACTATTAAGTAATCTGTTTATATCACACAGATCCAAATCCAAACTGACTTTTTACAGCATAAAACGGTCATAGGATTTTCTCCTGTTTGGAAAAGCTACCCGAGACTCTTGGCTTCCTATCGCAGTTTGGACTCACCCAACAAAACCTGGCTGCCCCTCTGCCAACAAAACCCAAGGGTCTGCTTCCCAGTCTCAGCCCTTCTGGGTCATTCTACAGGCCAATTCTGTGGAAGTGTTGGGGCAGAAACTGCAACCTCCCAGAACAAAAATGAATAATAACATCTGAAATGCTGAAGTTTTTAAATTAGTTGATGCACAGCAACTGTCCTCTGCCCAAAAGGCTGATTTTCCAAAGTCATACCTAAAGTGATGAATAAAAGAACAGACATAAAAGTTTCAATTTATTTAAAGATTAAAATTGGCATTTGTTTCCTTGTTAGAGAGCCATCTCTAAGCCATTAACACACGAGGTTAATGTGTGAAAACAGGTTTAGGTCTTTAAATATATACCACATAGATAAATTCATTAATTAAACAAAAGATGACTCCTTTTCTGACTCATTCTATTCTTACGGAGTTTCGCAACCGATGATATTCTCTGAGCTTTTAGAATGTAGATTGTCATGCCGCCCACTGAGAGTAAAGTTGAACAGGGTGAACTAAGGCTGTGGTGTGGAGTCTCAGCCTCTCTCCTGCCCCTGACCCTAGAGTTACAAATAACTAAGAGAACAGCAGCTGGCTGTTCTGACCTTCAAGGGAGCTGAACCTACTCACTGGAAACTGGGAGACCCTAAGGAGCATTGCTAAAGCATGAACATTTCAAAGTAACTAAGCTACTGCTCCACAGTCACCTTAACAGTCATTTACCAGGAACACCCTTATCTGTGCAAACCTTGTAAAAAAATTTTTAAGTTTATTTTTTCCAAGATGCTACAATGTATGTTAATCATGTTTATTCTAGAAGCAAGAGAAGTAACTGCTACATAAAGGGAAACATAACACACATGTAAGGTGTTTCAGCTCCTTATTCTTTAAACATCTAAGAACATTCCCTTCTGACACAAATGTAGTAGAAACTCAGCTCCTCAGACTAGAGATCACATTTTGTTTGCCTCCAAAGACCCTCTTCTCTATGCAATTACAAATACGAGATGGGCTCATATGCTTGAGAAAAGCATTTCCGCTTAAAGCATGAACCTTCATCATAGGTCTTGACAATCAAATCCCTTTTGTTTGCTGGAATGATGGATATGCCAAGTTCATTTCAACTTCACGGTGACCCTGGAGCCATCTGAAATGTAAGGCCTCCGTCACTTAGCAAAGCTGGAGATTAGGGAGGGCCAGCTGTAAGGGCACTGAGTTAGAAACGTTCCCAGCTGTGGGTCCAAGGCCTCTACTGTAGGAAGCCTCCACAACTGGGAGGTCTGCACCAAACAATGACTCCATAAGCCACCACCGTCTGCTATGGCTTTGGGATTCAGCAAAAGGCAACTAAGCATACTTGATAGCAATGTAATCAGCTCGGGCAGTAATCAATACGAAAGACAATAACTTTAAATGGTCACACAAGAATGGAAATGTATACAAAATCCATGTAGCAAGTTTAACCACCAAAACCATCTCCACTACTTTTGGTTATGTTTTTGTTTCTCTCCAAAGAAATCAGGTTATAGATTTGTATGCCGTGCATTTATATTGAATTTATAATGCTGTGCTTCAAAGTCAAGGGAAATAATTGAGGAACTACACTTCTGAGGCCAAGCACTGAAGAGACTTTACAATGTTCTACTCAGCAGAGTGCTGCCCATTTCCAGACCTGACCAACTCCAGACGTCCCTCTCCTGTGAACGCAGCTGAGACCTCATTTTCAAAGGAAAATACACACAGGAAATCTCCCTTCCCAAGATATTTCCACTTTCACTGTCCTAAAACTGCAGGATATTCACTGGCACCTGTATTGTTTTCACACCTCGGTGCTATACCGGTAATGACTTTATTTCCTGTCTGTCCCTGCAGTGGGGACTCAGCGTGGGGACTACAAGACTCTGAAGACAGAACTTTTACTACTCTGCCTTCTCCACCTTAATACTTTCCCCCAGTCATGCTGCAAAAATGCATAAAACAATATGAAAGAAAATACTGCAGTTTCCTTTTTCCTAAGAAACTTGGGCATCAAATTTTTAACAGTCTCGAGAGCTTAACTGTGGGAAGTGGGGGTTGGGCGCCAATCCTGCACGCTGCAGGCAGAAGAAACAGCAACACAACACAGCCACCCCACTCAGGCCATGCAAAAGAACCGTCTGCTTGCTGCCCCACGTCTCGCCTGCTCAGAGATTGCTCCAGAACATCCAGTGCCCAGCCTCCTTCACCACATGAATTGTCTCTTGGGTGCCTTTAATGCGTAAGACTGAGCATATGGTTGAATGGCAAGTCCCATTTAGTTTGGAATATTGCCTATCTGTGCCTCTGGTTATTTTATGAAAATCTCATAAATATCATAATCACTTGTATTCCTGTGATGCACTCACATAATTATCTCCATAAATATTGATGAAACCCTACCTTCTCACTATCGCTCAGGTCGCACTGCTCCCACATTACTGCTAAGTAGAAAGGAGATGCATACGGAAGGCATCACCACACCAGCTGACACAAAGCTCTTTGGTTTCTTGTAACAGGCACTGGGAGCAGAGAGAAAGTGGTCCCAGAAGGGTTTTGTAAGTCAAAACTACTTGTCCATCCTTTCCTAACTAAAACTCGTCCATGATCACCACTCTTCACATCCTCAGCTTAACCCATTTTCCCACAGCAGTGGTGTCAGCCCTTCTGCAACATCTGTTTCCCTCCTCCGAAAACTACCAAAAAGAGTATTAGAAGATGCTGCCTAGCACATTTATATAAATCTAGCAGCTTCCCGAAATTAGTCTTTGGAAAGTGGTTAATAGTATCTTGTGAAATATTTATTTCTGTTGCAGAAGTAGACATATAACAAGCATCTCTTTTAAAAAGAGACTTAAAAAATAAACAGTTAAGAACACACTGACTTAGATTCTGAGGGTGCAGTGAAGTCCTTAAAATACTTTCTGAGCTGAAGCCAAATGCAGAGATTAAAGCAATTCCATAGACAAGCTTTGGTTTTTAACTTTGAAAATGCAAGATATACAAAATGCACACATCTACAGAGACACGGGGATATGAATGATCACTCTCCCAGACCCAAAGGCTCACCTTCTACTTCTTCTTCGTCACACACGTGCTTAAGGAAGGAAGCCCCTCTGTCCAAGACAGCTTCATCCTCCATCCTATAGTAATAAAAAAGAAAAAAAGAATGCTCAGACTTTTCCTGGAGTGAGCCGCCTGCAGCAGCCCAGCTCCGGGGCAAGTGAACCTGCAGGCTGCTGTTCATGTTAGCAGGGCACAGTCGCTCTCCTCGGGTGGCTGCTGCTCCTTCACACAGCTCCTCTCGTCGGGTACTGGAGAATACGCTGGTCCCACATAGCTGCAGTCCTGCCCTTGAGAGGGCACCCCATAGACCGGTGAGAGAAAATCCCGATCCTGTAGGCTGGCTACTGGGGGCTCGCCTCTTGGGGTTTGCAAAAAGAGGATGAGAGCAAAAAGAAAAAAAAAATACCAAGACAGGAAGTTTGATGTGTCTGGAGTGCTCGTGATGATCGTTTGTGGAAATCCAGTTCTCAGTGCTTTAAACACCCACTGTTCAAAATGTATACCCTCACACACACACATACACACCCACCCACAGCACAGAGCGCGGGGAGGGAGATTCGTGCACAGTGGGAGCCCAGCTCCCAGCCAGCCTCTTAATACCAGCACAGCCCAGCATTCTCTGTCGAGTGGCAAGCTTTGAGTCACATGTTGGCCTCACAGAAACCTGACATCTGAGGATTACCCTGCGCCCTGGCTTTGGCAATAGGCACATATATATATGCCACCCATTCATTCATTTTTCCATACCCTCCTCACATGTCTCTCTCTCTCTAAGTACAGAGAGACCCTGTTAACTCTTCCCTGAAAGTTCTCCATTTGGCAATCACATTACGCTGTTCTCCTATCTCCTTACATAATAGGATCTACTCTGAAATTTCATATGCTAAATAAGACCTCATAATCCATCCAAGGAATGACAGTGTTTTTATAGCCTCCTGATGCCAAACATGTTTCCAGTTTATAGAATGAGTTAAGGTTTATTTCCACACTCTGTGACTCCTTCCCATAGCATTTACTTTGTTATACAGGATTCCATGGACTCTATTTATAGTGAAAGAGAGAGAAATCCTGAATTGCTCAAATGCTGCTTGTATAGTACGAGTCTAGAGACAAAGAACTTTCCCCAGGGACAGCTGCTCTATGTCATACTGTATATGAGCCCTGCCAGAGAACCAAATGTTCGTTCTGTATTCAATTCATCCAACTATGTGCACGGGCACTGAATGCTGTAAGTGTGTTTTCCATATTGTGCATATAACTTATTCTTGTACTTCAGATATCTGCTATAATCTATGTGAATGTGCACTAAACTTGTATTTTCTTCCTTACTATTTTAAGAGCACAAGCATCTTGCAAAGCAAAGCAACCAGCTGAGCATAAAAAGACAGAAATTTGGTGTCAGTCCCATGTTTAAAAAATCTAGTTCTATCACTTAGTAGCTCAGTTATCTGGACCAAAGTATTAACTTTTTGAACTCCGTTTGTGCATTACAAAATGAGGTTAATGATATCAACCTTGCCCACAATACTGCCATACCAAACTTGCACTAATTGCAATTCAATTTTGGTTACGTATCTAAATGCACTCAGCACAGGACCCAGAAGATGATGTACTATTTAATAAAAATGCCTTTTTCACCTTGACCAAGCATAGGTGGACAGGGCCATGAAGGACAAAACCTCTGGGTACATCAAAGCCTCTTCTTTCAGGACTCACAATTTGTTTGTCATAGCTCATACTGATATAGACGAGGATTGTTTTTTCTCCATACTCAAACTAAATACATAAAACAGGGTGGGAAGTCAGCCCTCAAGAGTTAAGTAAGAATAAAGTACCCTGAGGACATAAAAGTGTCATTCCCCCATCTCTCTGAGCTTCAGGGTGCCATGAAGATTAAATGATACCACACATTCCACAGGTTCAGCAAATACTGTTTACTACCTATTGTGTTCCTGGAACTCTGCAGAGGCAGGGAAATACATGTGTGACTATGACAGGAAAGCTCCCTAAGAACTGCTAACGAAGAGATGAACAAGGTCATTTCAAATAGCATTAAAGGCTTTGCACAAAATACATTAGGAAGGAGGCTACTTGACATAGAGTGTTTCTACTGAGGCTTCTGAGGAGGCCACATATGATCACAGATTTTTAAAAATAACAGGAAGGAACCAGCTGTGAAAGAATCTGGGAAAAAATCATTTCAAGCCAAGAATATAGCAAGTGCAAAGGGCCCACAGTGGGAACAAGTTCAGCAATGCCAGGAATGAGACAAGTAAGAAAGTCCACTATTGGAGCTGATTGCAGAGGAACGGAGGCGTGATAAGGGTCAGAATTTTAGGTGTTATGGGAGCCTAAAACAAAGAGTTTTACAATGCAGAATGACTTGAGCTTTTTTGCTTTCTTAAAGGATCACTCTGGCTGTGATGTAAAAAATGAATAATTAGGAGTCAAACAGAAACTAAGACACTTTGGAGGGCCTAAGGGGCAGCTGGAGATGGCAGGTATTGGAAGAAATCAGTCCTACTGGACATCTAGGGTTAAGACGCCTGTCTCAGGTAAACATGGAGCTCTCGGGTACATAGTTCACTGCCTGCGTCTTGGGCTCAAGAGCTCAGGGCTGGAGAGAAAATTTGGAAAAATAATTTTTAAAAAGCTGGCATTGAAGTTACTACTTTTTGTGATCATCCAGGAAAGAAAACAGAGACATGAAAGAGTAGACCTACGAAGCACATCAACATTTACAAATAGAAAACTAAAAAGTGAATGCAGGGCTAAGGGATGAAGCTCAGTGCTTGCCCACCATACACAGGCCCTGGGTTATATCCCCAGTACCAAAAGACACATTAATGATGTTAGAGGGAAGCCAAGCAAGAGCTATGTCAAGGAAGTCCCAAAAAGAAGAGTGTGTACTGCTCATGAGAAGTTAAGAAAGATGAACACGGAGAAGGGAAGCTTGGATTTGGCAATATGGGGACGCTGGTGAGCAAGACCGAAGCATCTGAGACATATAGCCTGTATCTGTGGGAGACACCGAAAGGGAACTGAGCAGTTCCCCTGTCTCCTTCCCACCCTCCACCATTCACAGTATGTACTGAGCACCAGTTGCCCGAGCACAGTCACTTACCACAGATACAGTGGCAGGTGACCCAGTGGAGGGCTCTAGCACAATTGCATCTGCTTCCTTCCCCGCCCCCCCCCGTAATCAAAAAGAAACAGTCCAAGGGCATGAACCCATCAGTTACACCACAGAAATGGAGGAGGAATGACAGATTAGTGGAAAATTTTTCTCAAAAGACCTCATAAACCACCAAAATCCTGGAGCCCTGCGCTGTTGCGCATACATGAACTGTACACCTCCCCTCTGGAACACAGAGTAGGTTAGGGCACCTTTCTTCTCAGAACAGACCTTCCTGGTTCTGCCAGCACACTGAACCCAGCATAATTTCCTAAGGAATATCATTCTGCACCCCACTGCTAATCAAGTTGGTCCTAAAGTCTTTTGTCAGCCTTCTACAAATTCCCATTTAGCCTTAATGTCTTAAGCAGCCCTTTTTAAAACCGTACACAACACCCAAAAGGGAAATAAGAGAAGAGAAATCTTTAACAACTGGCTGGAAGGTAGAGACCTTACTGCATGAGCACTCCTCCTGGGCCACGGATCCACGGTCACCTTGCTCCAGCCACAGAGTGACCCCACTAATGGTATACTTCTTGGTCCCTGACAGATAGTTTCCATCCCTCCCACGCCGCACACAGCAAGTCATCAGAAATGTGCTTCTTTTAATGCAAAGTACCTGAAAGCTGCATCCCTCTATAGGCAAGGCAAGGTGAGGCTGAAAACAGGAATCCTGCTCACCCCAGCACCACCCATCCAGGGAGCAAGGACACCCTGAGGCACCTAGACTTCCACACACACTCAGAAGTTCTCTGTCTCTACGTCACATCATAAATGTCATTTATTTGGGTTTGGGTTCCTTCACCCCAAATCCTCCCAGCAATGGCTAGCTATTATTAGAAAGACAGATCTTTTAAAATGATCGTCTGACCCAACTCGCTTTTCCTCTAGTAATCAACTCATCCAGGTCTCCAAATCCATTCTTAAAATGGTCCTTTCACAGCCCCTGCATTTGCTGAACACAAAGAAAGGAAGAAGTGTGCCTCTAAATGGCTCCCTGGGTTGCTCACAACACCAGCATGAGACGAAGTTCAGAATAGATTTGGAAGCTTCTCACCAGCATCACGGGGTAAGGGTCACACCAGTCAGTGCAAATCCACTTGGGGTCAATCCTGTCCTCCTTCAGCAGGGCCCGGGATGGGAGTCACACTCCTTTTATACAGTCCCACTGCAGCAGGGCTTTTCTTAGTCTCCATTATTCTGGGACACCAAAACATTTAATTGTAACACACATCAAAACTGCTGCCGAACAGACAGGCTCACGCCAGCCTGTCCTAATCATGGAGCAAGCTTGCAAGAATGATATAAGCCTGGCATGAGAAATATTTGTGCAGAACTGTCAGCCACGGGGCTTCGAGCGTCCATGGACACTGCAGCCCTCTGAGTCCCCACCCCGGAACCCACGCCAATGCCAACGTGCTCACCAGCTAGTCTGTGCAGTGCCAGCAGCTGCCACTCAGCAAGTGGCTGGCCGCCAGCACACGAGCTTCAAGAATGCAAGGCTGCTGTCACCACGCTCAAAAGGTTGAAGGTCTTGGAGTGTGCTAGCCTTCAGTCGCCTCACTTGCCCTCCCTCCTCTCTCCACATCCCTCCCCTGTTCTGCCTCCTCCGGTAGCATTGCACTTGTCTCTATGGTAACAGCATCTGGTTTCAGGGTTAGAACTTTATACAGCTCGGCTATATCCTACTCCAAGCCTTTGCCAAAGGATGCACTGGCAAAACAGCTGCTGCTTAAGGTAGTTGCCTGTCTCCTTGTCACTCCAGGACTGCAGCTATGTTGTGAGCTACACAGTCACAGTGATTGCAGCAACGAGTCCGGGAAGCGGGACACTCTCCACCCTCAGCACACTGCTTACTATACAAAAGTCTCTGCTTGATCTTACAGCCCCAATCCATAGATAACCTGCTGTCCAGAATAAGGCTGCACATGGACCGTATTAATACAGGGCTTCAGAAAGGCACAAGAGACGGCATCCTTGTGAGCGCGTAATGTGTGTATACCAGAGCCTGATGTCACCCATCTTTTTGTGTGCATATGGGCCTGAAGTTCAGTACTCAGCCTTGCACTAAAGCTCACCCCACTCTATCTACACTGGCTTGCCTGTTTATGATATGCAATGAATGCCATAATCTCTCACTTTATGTTTCCCGCGCACAGTAAGGAAATCTGCTCAAACAATTCTTTACACACACACACACACACCGAGTAGACAAATACTGAGTAGTTAAGACCTTCATTGTATCAGTGATCACTGCCATGAAAACTATATTTACAGTGTGTGTAGTGGCCTTCACTGGAGGACTGAGGTGTTAATCTCAAGTCTCGAAACTCACAATCAGGCTGTTCCTGCAATTAGAGTGACGATGGTGCAGACAAACTGGAAAGCATAATCAGCATTTCACAGGCAGCTTTCAGGAGCTCCACAGAATACAAGGTTCAGTCCTGACGTCTAAAATTATACCCTGATAACACACATTCATGGGTTCTGCTCCCTTTTCAAATCACTTCCCAGAGGTGGAGAACTGTTGCCATTATAAAGTCCTTTATAATCTTTTCTTTTAAATTTTCAACCCACATCATTTGATTGGTGCTTTTGCTGCATTGTCAAATCTGCTGACCACGTTCTCAACATGCACATAAAAAGCAAGACACAACTGTGCAAATTTCAGGCAAAAGGGAGCACCGCCTCGGAGGCTGTGAAGCACACTGCCACCTTTTGGCAAGATGCGTTCACTACAGGAAGAGTAGCTAGGATTCGCTTCTCAGGTTCCCACCAAGCAGCCACAGGGAGGCCTTCACCCTCTAGGAAGTAAAGGAATAAACTGTGCAGACAATCAAAGCTCTGGATGTACAGGTTGGGAAAGACACACTGGGGCAGACAAACTGACAAGCATGACTAAGGGCAGAGGCAACTCCCAGATATCAGCCAGCAACAAAGTGCTGCCCATCCAGAGTCCGGGAGCTCCCTAATCAGTCCAGCAATTTACACAGGACCAGGGCCAAGGGGAAATGGCCCCACATGAAATTGGACCATAGACCAGATAAAAGGTGAAAATGCAACCCAGAGCAGGCCAGATAAATTATAATTCTGCATTTATGCACTGTATCAAAGGTTCATTAATTTTATACTCTTGGCTATTTATCCCAGAGAAATGAAAACTTACTTTATTAGTCAGCCTTCCTGTTGCCAGGACATAATACTCAACATCCACAATGTAAAGGGGAAGAGGCTTAATCCAACTCATAGTTTTAAGGAATACCATACATGGTCAGCTGGTTCCAAGACAGAAATCCTGGCACAAAGGCATGGAGAAGCAAACCTGCATACTTCACGGTGGCCAGGAAGCAGAGGCAGGGAACAGGTCAAGAATAAAGGTCATATTTAGTCCCCAAAATCTCCTCCAGAACAGAGCTGCACCAACACTGGGGCAGAGCCCAAACCAATCAAGTTGGCACAACCAAACTGACCATCACACCCTACTCCTTGTCACTCTGACATTCAAACACATCTTCTTAAACCATATTTAATCCTCATATAAACACAAAATCAAAATCCCACCTAACAAGATAAAGTCTTAACAGTTGCCGCATTTTTCAAAATTCCAATTCAAAGTCTCTTCTGAGACTCAAATGCTTATCTGTGAACCTCTGTAAAGATAAAAAGCGAGTTATAAAATACAAAGATACAATGACATAAAGTAAACACTCCCATTCCAAAAGGGGGGAATTGGGAATAGAAGAGAACTGGACCAAAGGAAAAGCAAACCGCAACAGGACAAACATTAATTCCCATAGCTCCATGTCCAGCATCTGGGGCACATCACGGCAAATGTGAGCTCCAAAGGGCTTGGCAGCTCCACCCCGATGGCTCTGCTGGTTTCAGCCCACACTGCCTCTCTCAGGCTGGCTACATTCATTTGCTCTACCTGTCCTTGGTACATGTTCCACTTTCCTGGCATCTCTGACTTGCTGGGGTCTCCACTGCGCCTTTGGCTTCTATCCCAGAACCTGATGCACTACCCTTCAGGGGCTCCCTCCCTGGCCTTCCAGGCCTTCATCTGAAATCTGAGTGGAAGTCTGTCTGACCCCAAAACTTGTACATTTTGCCTGCTATTAAAACCAGCATCATGTGGACAGTGTCACCGTTTCAATAGAACATAGCTTCAACAGTGTCACAGCTATCAACAGAAACAGTAATCGGGCCCCCTTGGACCACAGCTGCAATGAACTATGAGTTCCTGGATTGCTGAGTGCAGGAGAATGAATTCTGAGAAGCCAATTTCCTAGGGGGCCCTTCTTGAGTAGGAGGCCTAGCGACTCTTCCCAAATCAAATGTTGACACTCTGCACCCTGGATTCTGTGATGGATGGGGTCTTCCTGGCTTCTGAGATACCCTCAAGACATTTTGCTTCTTATGCCTGCAGAAAGCACTAGGTTTCAATATGCTAATCTCTTCATCATCTGTCCCTACCTGACACCAACTTAACACACCTTTCCTTCGGGGTGAATATTTAAGTCTTCAAATTTTTCTACCCTGATTTTTTGCCCCAAATTCTCACTACAAATCTGACTTTAAAAACTAACAGGACATATACCACAGGCTGAATGTTAGGTTGCCTTTGAATTTCCTCCACTGGATCAGTTATTCCACCACCCTTAATTTAGCCCCCTGTAAAGTCTCAGGACATGGACAAAATGTAGATAATTTTTTTGCCGGAGTATAACACACTTCTATTATCCCAGTTGTCAGTGAAGTCTTTCCCATCTGAAACCTCCTGAGCCTCATCTTCACTGTCAGCTTTGCTAACAGCATTCGTATCTTCTGTGTTCCAACCAGAATCACCCACCAGGCTCTTCATGGAGCATTCCAGGAAGTGTTCTTAGTCTTCATCTCCAAACTCCTCTCACCAACAGGTTTCCCTTCTGAACCATAAGGTCGGGTACAGTCATAGCAACAACCCCCCTTTCTCAGCACTAATTTTCTACATAATCAGCTCTCCTGTTACTGGGACGCAATACTTGATGTTAACAACTTAAAAAAGCAGATTTTTAACTCAATTGATGGATTCATTACATGGTCAACTATGTCCAAAGGCAGGAACATAACAGCAGAAAGGTTCAGTGAAACAAAGTTTCATAGTTCACAGCACCAGGAAGCAGAGCAAGACAGAAGCAGACAGAAAGTAGAAAGGGACAAGATACAGTCCAAAGTCACACCTCCATGACCAGCAAAGGCACAGCTGGAAGTGTTTTCCACCCAGCCCTTGGGCAGTTCCAGCTGAATCAAACTGACAAAGCCAAGTTTAACCATTACACCTACATTCACACAAAAGCCAGTACAAGAGTGTTCACCGAAGTTTCATTTACAAGAGCCATTAACTAGAATTAATCCACATGCCTTTCACTATGTGAATGGTCAAACTGTGATACAACCATACATGAAATATGTGTAGCAATAAGATGGAATGTAGTAAAACACACAGATGAATAATTACGCCAAGAGAAAAATGTCAATCCAAAGAGTTGCCTACTATATAATTCCACTTATATAACCTCTTAGAAATGACAAAATTCCAGCAGTTAAGGACAGTGTACTGGGTGGTTATAAAATAACAACACAAAGAACCCTTCCAGGGTTGGATCTGAGCAGTACTCTCTCTGTAGAAGTGGACACGTGAATCTAAACAGGTGATGAAACTGTACAAAAGTTATCCTGGTTGTGGTAAAATTTTATAATATGTTAATTAACCTTGAAGGAAACTAGAAAAGTGGGCCTTTTTTCTCTACTAATAATCACTCTGTGTTATTTTTCTAGTATACAATGAACCTGTAAATTCATGTTTTACATTTTCCTGGGAACAGTATTTTACATAGCAGTCAGGTTCAGAAGCTCACACATCAACATACACACAGAATTAGACAAAACAATGCAAATCCCACATGTGCCCAGGAGTAACTGTGTATCCCCGGGAAAGTCAATTAACCTCTCATTTTTGTCTTAAATGGGCCTGAAACACTTTAGAAGTTGGTTTAGGGCATTAAATAAATACATAAATCCAATTAATTTCTGTTAAACCTAGATCTAAAGTTTATAAGGTCCAGAGCGCATGACAGGGCATGAATTCTGCCCTGGGAGAAATGCATGGGAGTTTCGGCCAGGTAAACCGCCCCTCACACTGAAGCATTCAGTTCCTCCCCTGCGAGTCGTCCACACCACAGTAAGACTTGCTACACCCTGCACTCGGGCTTCGGGCTCAAATCTGAAGCCCAGAGAAGGCTAAACAGCAAAAGACAGGAAAAGGACAGAGGATGGGCAAGAGGGTGAAGACAGGGACA